CTTATCCAGGGACGGACGCATACTCGAAAGACTGAGGGGGAACAAATGTAACCTTTACAAAGTGCAAAAAAAAAAAAATAGTATTTATTCTTTGCATGTTCTTATATATATTATATCAATCATAATTACATAAATTCAAATCTCATTAAATATATCTTTTTTAAATACTAACATTTTTTTTACATTGGATATTCTTACAACGTCAGCATTCGTGGACTTCTTTATAATAAAGATAAATATTTTATTAGTTAAAAATTAATGACAAACACAATTTAGTAGTTAATATTAAACATATAATTATAATTTAAGAACACCTAAAATTCAATATATATCAAAATCAACGTTGACTTTTGTGGAAAATCGATGTAACTCATTTATATATGTTGCCTTCAACATAATACAAATACATAATGCAAACAACATAAACTTTAAGAAGGTTTTTTTGTAATTATTTTATAATATAATTATATATGTATTAATTTTTTTTAAATTGCATAGGGGCCCGTGCCCCTACGGCCCCGCTTAGGTTTGCCCCTGCTCTTATCAAATCTGGTAGCTTTTCAACCATAATCCATCAACTATTAGATATAAACTACAAATTCACGTATAAGCTATCATCTAGCGTAAATTTTGGCAAAAGTTATTTTAATAAAAAGCAAATAATATATATAGCCTTCTCATGCACAAGAAGGATTTTCCATTCAATTTCAATGAAAGCTTTAACATTTCCATTTATGCAGTTGGAATGTATAATAATTAACTTGAATGANAAGAAAAATAATCTCACTAAAAGATCTTAGCAAGAAAATACGTGATTCAAAAAATTGCTTTTAGCTTCGAAGGAGCATATCCACTTAAATTATAAATCAAGAAATAACTAAGCATAGAGAGACAAGCCATATTAAGAGAAAGGGACATTTTAGACACTTTGTCCTAGCAGAGCTTATAGAAATCAATAGGAGAATCAATAAAATCATGTTTGGGGTATATTTGATAGATTCAGTTGGAAAACTAATTAATAATTAATAAATTACTTGATAGTTGACTGTTGATTGATAGTAGGTAATATTACTGAAAAATAAATTAATGCAATAATTTTTTAATAAAATTAATTGATAAATTAATTTTTTCAAAAAAATCTAAATGTATTGTTTTAAATTTACATTGGTAAACATATGAGATAAGTTTTGTTTGTTTTTTTTAACAAAAAAAATCATCTTAACTAAATGAGACCATTTTTGTAATAAAACAAGCTTACTAATTTATGTTGCATATAAAATATATTGTGTTACCGCCGTTTCATACAAGAACTTTGACATATATTTTATAGAGTACTGCGATTGGAGGTAAATTTTTTTATAGTTTTGGACGGAATTACTATTTCATATAAACTTTTAACAATCATCTGGTTCTTCACTGCCTGCATATCAATTTTTACTTCGAATTCATGAATACTTCCGGCATAAAATTCAATATTCATCTAATTTCAATTAATTATTTTTAATATTTTCAATATAATTAAATATATCAATTAAATTAACTATTTTTACATCATATTAACGTTAAATTATATTTTAACTCATATTTACTTACAGACTTAAATCAAATCTAGGTTTCTAACTAATTAATTTTTTCAATCTTAATTCTGCTTATTCAATAAATTAAATTTAAAAAAAAAATACTTTCAAATTGCACTATCTTGTAATATTTGGGCAAATAGAATTACCTTACCTTTTCAAGTCTTGTTTTATTAGGAGAAAATGTACTAACTGTAATATGAAAAGCTGTAATTAATAATTATTTCTTTTTTGTGTTTTCTTTTTCCTTTTGGACCTTGCTTTACGGGTAAAATATACATGACCCCCCTGTATTATAGGAAATCTGCGCGTTTTCCCCTTATATTTTAAAAATTGCATCAGACCCACTTGTATTAACTAAAAGTTGCACGATTCCCCCCTCTCCGTCCAACTTGACGGCGCGTGCAATACACATTTCTGTAATGCGAAAATTATACATTTTTTTCATATATTTTTTCTATTTTAAATTGAAATTTACTATTTTGCCCCTGCTTTTCTACCCATTATTATGCAAAAATCGCTGCTCCTGGAATTCGATCTTGGGCCAAAACTTCAATGGGCAAGGCTTCACACCACTCTGCCACCATCATTATATAGTACATATGTAACACACATTTATTTAAAACTGCATAACACAAGAAAACTAATCAAATAAAAATTTAAAAAATAAAACAATCACAAGATAAAGAAACAATAGAAAATATAATTAAAATAAAATATAATAAAAATCAAATATGAAACTTAAAAATAATTAATAAATATATTAATATTTAATATAAAAATAAAATAATAATTTAATTAAAATAAATTAATAAAAATAACTATAAAATAAATTTTAATATACATTTTAAATATATGTTTTTATGAATTGATATAATATAATATATATAAATAAAATTAAACTAAATTAAATTAAGTGAAATTAAATTTATTTTATATCTATAATTATATATTATTAAAGTAGTAATTTGTAAATAAAATATTTTATAATTTATAATTACTTGATATCATCTTGTGCTATACTGGTGATTAGGCTTTCTTTGTCTGATAATGAGAAGCTTTTGATTCGGTCCGCTAGGTCATCGTCATGACCCATACAATTAGGTTCCGCCATGGCTAAAGGAGAAGAAAACGAGTCGAGAGATTGAAGATGAAGATGAGATTTACTGCCTTAACTATCAGAAAACAAAACAAGATCGCAAGATTTGATTACTAGAGTTGCTCCCACCGGAGAGAATCGCCGGAAATGCTCCCACCCGAGAGAATCCTATCTTAATATTTTCTAATGACAAAATATATATTAATAATTTAGAATCTATTTATTCAATTATTATAAAATATATATACTGAATAATTATACTACTTATAATTTATATCTATCATTATATTATTTATAATTTAGAATAATTTTACTTAATTATTATATTAATTATAATCTTGAATTTTTTTATTAAATTATTGCAAAATCTATTTATTTATATATTTTATTATTCTAAACTTTATAATATATTTTATTAACTATTATATCATTTATAATATATAATATTTTTAATTTATAATATATTTATTTAATTATTATATATTAGTAATTTGGAATAGATTTAATCAATTATTATATTTTATAGTTTA